GCACCAGACATGTTTGGCTGGGCAAGAAGGGCACACAGATGATACCTGAATTGAGAGGCCCTCCATCATGCAGCAAGACAGCTGTCCTTCAAGCACAGCAACTTATGGTTGGAAAAAGTAGGTGTCTTGTACCAAAAAAGCAGATGTTATCTGCCCCCAATGCTTTCCTTGTACCCTTACACACTGCACCTGTAACACCACAACTGCTATGCTCTGCTTGTCTGAAGGTCTAATAAACAGACAGGCTTGATATAAACTCAAATGCTATCATTTCACTACCAAGGTGGTTTAGATGCAGCACTTCGAAATAATGCTTCTGCTCCGGACTGCTCAAACCCACCCCTGCCACCTCAATATGTCTTGCATTCAGTTACAGCGATGTGTCAGGTCTGCAAATCACCAAAGAGGCTTTCCACCCCCAGTAGCATCACTCTGCTCTGGATCAGCACTAGGCTGCAGAGCAAGTGTAAAATCGAGTAAGAAAGCGACTGCCACAGAAGTCCTGTGTAAACCCACTCCCATGCACTTGGCAGATGCAAGGCACTCTTCTGAAATAAATGGAGTGAAAACTTCTTTAAAGAACTTCTGGGGAGGCCTTTTTGACTTAAGGAAACCAAAACAGCCAGTCCAGAACAGGTCTTTCAAGGAGAAAGCAGATTTGCTAAATTACGAAAGTAAAGTTAGCACATGAAATCTAAAGCCAGGACATTTAAACTGGTTCAATTTTTGTTGATTTGGAATTTGAGATGGTTTCTTTAATAGTTCATCTTTCACATGTTCCTTTAAACTTGTTTCTTTTTAAACTGCTATCATTTGCAGGAAGCAGACCTTCCTGAATGGCTTTAATGGTATTTCAGTCAGAGGAAGTCATGAAAATACCTCATTTCAAATGAAAACTGTAAAACAATGACACTAAGGCCCTTTCAACCACTGGGAGTCCCAGGATTAAGAAAAAAAAGGCATTAAAAAAAAGAGATTAAGGTTTCTTGTTCAAAACTATTCTCTGCTTAACTTTAATCAGCTTTTGACTAAGCTGACAGGAGTTACTGCAGTAGGACAGCAAACCATGTACATCAAAGTTACTTATTCAGGACAAGAATTCTGTGAATACTTTGATTTCACCTGGAATTTGAATGTCAAGTATGATAAATACATAGTACCCAGGCATGAAAAAGTGATTAAAAACAAACCCCATTATTCTCAGATCAATGGCAGACCATACAAGCAAGCTCACTGTGGACTTAATTACAATAGCTACTTTTCTCTTAGAAGGTATTAAAAAAAACCCAAGTCTATATGCTCACAGAAAACAATATGCACCCCTAAAGAGTACACATTAATTTTTATTAGAACCCAACTTTATACACCACCAAAATATTAGAGCTTCTGATGAGGAGAAATCACAGGAGATCATGTATCACACAACAGTAGCCACCTAGATTAAGTTTCTTTAATCACTACTACTGTTTCATCTGATCCATGAAGCACCTAAAAGCACTGTTTGCAAGTGGACAATGCCTCCTGTATTGCTGCCTCTGAGCACTTCCACTAAAAGAGCTGAACCATCAAACACCCTTGATGTGAATCTACGGCACTCATCTACCTATGGGACTGCACTGCTGAAAACCCCCCCTAGTTTCCAAGGAGTTTCAGCAGTCAAAAAATGCTGCTTATGTGTGCCCAGCAGTTTTGTGGGCTATGTTTCACTGCAGGGTGATCATGGCTGGTCTGTGCCTGAATTCCCAGTGAGTTGTGTAATGCACGTTGGTTTTCCAAGGAAATCACTTCAGACTTGATTTTTCCTGACACAAAGGAATTTGAGCAAAACAAGCTGCCCAATTCTGCTCATGCACCTCCGAAACTGACCACCAGGCTGCGACTCTCATTCCTGAACTACCCTGACAGACAAAAAGATGCAGCTACTGTGGTACCGGGTCATGGTTTAAAAAGCCGAGTCTGCCAACATAAAACTTCCTTGACAGTGATATATTGTCATGGACACCTACTTCCTCCTCCTTGGACATGGAGTCAGGACAGCAGCACACAATAGCAAGACTCCAGGTTTTCCCAACTGGCTTACAGAGTACATGCACTTAAAAAAAGTTAACCACACCTATAAATTGCTCCTTAAGACTTCAAATGCACTCTGTAGTCTCCAGCTTCACCAACACACAGGGTTATCATAGCTACTTCTAACGTTTCCTTTTTAACACCGGGACTGAAAGACCTGCTTCAAGGGCCTGACTGAGTATGGGTGAGGTAAGCTGGGCTTTCTTCATTAAGAACAAGAAACTTCCCTTTGCATTAATGATTTACAACTTGAGGAGAACAGATACAGAACAAGTCTAACTGTGACACTTGAAATGGCAGAAGTAGCTAATAAATATTTGCATAAGACAGGTCATGAAAATAAAATAGCTGCAGTCAAACTGAAGTGTCTTTGTTTCTTAAAGCTACATGCAAAGCAGGTAGACAAAGCAACAAGTGACAGCTGTGGCAACAACCTGCCCTCCAGTAAAATATGGACCACTCCCTTTTACTCCTTTTACTCCAACAAAGCCTTTCTTCAATACATTATTACGCCAGTCAAAAAACATGATGATGATGACACACATTTAAAGACCTCAGGTACATGATGCTGGCTGGCATGCTGCCTTCAGGATAAGAATTACTCTAACAAAAATTTATTCTTACAGTAACTTCACTGAATTTCAGCATTTATCGGAAGTCTGGCCTAGTAACTTCTTCTTAAGTAGGGTAAATCCCACATGAAAAAGCCACATCCAGACACCAGTGACTTCTGGATTCTGCCTGAAAGTTTCCTTTTGAGGAGGGCACTGCCATGTCTGTTTCTCAATTGGATGCACTCAGTTTTCAAAACAAGGAAGTCATTACTTGTAATCTGTCGTCAGGGCATTCAAAAGTCTTTTTATGAAAACAGTCTTCCTCAATCTTTTCTTTAGTGGATCCTCCACATTATCCCTCCTTTTCCTTCATCAGGATGCAAAGCACGTAACAGTCAGGACCTAAGCTAGTCTTGCTACGAGTGTATTTGACTCACCACCTTAGTCAAGCTTCACTTACAAAATCATGCAGCGCAACAAGCCTGGTTTCATCTGAATTTTTAATCTCCTGAACAATCAGTTTACATAAGGATACTTGCTTGTTGCAAAGTACATTTGTTCTACTTCCTATGGCTCTGCGTTTCAAGAATCCTTAACTACATACATTTTTAAAGCAAAGGTCTGGTAAAGCCTAGTTCATGATTTACATACAATTCTGAGATACACAACAGAAATAGGGAAATTATTCCAGATGTGCAATGGATTCAACTCGCATACAGGAGAAAATACTTTCATCATGGTGCATCTTTGATCTTGGTAACTCATACACTGATGAGAGCCTGGCTGTCATCTGCTGTCAGTCACAGCCTGCTAATACTTAAGATACAGCAGTGCTAACGTAGAAAACAAGAAAGACATACGATTTCTCAAAATCTACGTGAATGATTAAAACCAAAAGAGAAGCACCTTCAAATGAAGGTAGGTGCCTCCTACATACAGGCATGAAATTTGGTAAATCAGAGCAGCTCTGTTTCAGCTAATTTTGGAAACAAGAAGACACATCAGTGAAATCCAAAGACAATGGAAAGAAACACCAAGAAATTAGCAACACGCGGCCTTCCTTCTGGGAAAAAAAACCCCAATCGGTTTGAAACACACAGAGAGCGCACAGATCCCCTGGACTGAGGGGGAAGGATAACAGTGCTCCGTCGGACGATGAAATCGCAAATTCGTTGATCATTTAAAAGTCAGTAACCCCCATCACGGCTAATTACTCCCTTTGAGTGAGGAAGCGCTGCCGCACGGCGCCGTGACGAGCCGGCTCTCCGAGATACCTGCGCCGCTAGGGAGGGGGGGGGAACAGCGTCCTGCCTCCGCCGTCTCAGCCCAGAGACTTACGGGCAGCTGCAGGCCGTAGCCCCACAAGCCCGGCCCCGGCGGCATCTCGCAGGGCCCGGGCTCCCCACAGCACTCGGGGGTGGGAAAGGCCGTGACCGGGCCACGGTCGCCGCCGCCCGTCCGTTCCCCACCTCAGCCACACGCAGCCCACCCCCTACCCG